TCTGAGCTGTCAGCACAGGGCCTGACGCAGGGCTCGAACCAACCGTGAGATCAAGACCTGAGCTGGAAGTAGGACATTTAACTGACAGAAGCACTCCCACGCTGCATTTTAAAGGTTCTTAATCCCAATAGTATGCTTCAACTCAGCTAATGTAATGCAGTGACAACCACTGATCATTTACCCTTTCTTTAATTAAACTCTTACTTAATTTCATGGAGGACTGTGGTAAATAACTTTCATAAACTACTCCCCATACAGCTACATCAAGTTTCTAGAACACACTTACTCTTCATCATCATCGTCATCATCGTCATCTTCATCATCATCTTCATCGGCAGCAAGTTTTACTTTTTTCTTAAAAAATAATACATATATATACGTAAATATATACACACATACTCGTATACAAGTGCTGATCTTAATCACCAAGCCAAAGACCAAAATAAGAGATCTTTACACCTATACCTGTGGAACCTTGCTACCACTTCCAGGGGCAGAACGCTTTCCAGATATACTAAGGAGTTTCACATCCTCTTCCTCTTCATCTTCTGACTCTGCATCTTCCTCCACAGCTAAAATAAAAAATTATTTATTAGCTACGAATAAAACTCAACCAACAAGCAAGAACTCAGAAAAAAGAGCATAACATACAGTAAGGAGCATTTAAAAATTTTAAATGAACATTAAAAAAGAACTATGAAAACAGCAAATAGGGAACCGAAAATTTTTTTAAAAAGCAACTTTGAAGGCCAGCACTCTACTAGGCTTTAAATGAAAACAAAAACAAAAAAACAGGCTTTTCCAGTTTAAGTTACTCTATTTCCACTTCAACCTATTAATAAAGACAGCAGTACTAAAACTAAGCATGCTTTACAAAGTCCAAATTGGGAACAAAGTTAACTGCATTAAGAGAGAATAAACAGCACAATACATAACATACCTACTAAGTGCTGTCCACTAATATGCACAGGCCCTGAACCGCATTTCAACCGTAAGACCACAGGTGGTGTTATTTCAAAGCCTCTAAGGAAAACCATTGGCTGTACATTTTCGAAGTTGCCAGTGTGACTTTAATTGGACTGCCTTCATAATTCATTGCCTCTGCTTCAACAATGTGCAATTCATCCTTTGCACCAGCCCCTAAACTTACCGTTCTTAAAGATAACTGGTGCTCGTTTTCATCATTATCCACTTTAAAGTGATAATCTTTGTCAGCCTTTAGTTCACAACCTGAAAAGGGGAAAACAGCAACAACAAAAAAGAATTAGCTCTGAAACTTAAGTGAGGGTAACCAAAAAAAAACCAGTTAATTTGCGAACAGATTTTCCACTATTCTAGCTACCAGATGGCAAGGCAGAAGTATCTCTTCCTGGGTTTCTTAAACACAAGTGTCTATAAATATCAAATAACATCCATACAGGGCTTTATAAATTCTACTTCCCCACTATACTATCTCATTTTCAGCTACACTATTACATTCTTAGGTAGAAACAGGCCCAAAAGTTTAGTAAAAACTGAAACCAGTATCTGAAACTAAGTCTAACATACAAGGTTGATAAAATCGCACTGTTTAAAAAAAAATTACCTACCTAAGTATAGGACAAGTGGCAAATTTAGAAATGAATGGTTACACAAACACCTACGTGAATTTGTATTTACAAGGGAAAAACTACAAACATGGATCAAAACTTGGCACAGGGATCAATATCCTATCCTTGAAGTTAACAGAAATGATATGCATTAAATTATGCTCAAATTATGTTTAAGATTAGCTATATCATAAGGATATTTCCAATAGAAAGGATTAAACCGTATACTGACCAGAAACCCCAGCTAGTCAAAAGAGCCTTACTTAATGTAGGAGTTATCTACTCCCATTCCATCAATAGGCAAGTTGTTTCAAGTATCGACAGAATAACATTTTAATTATAGGATTCCATTTATTTTTTTTTAATTTTTTTTTTAACGTTTATTTATTTTTTTGGGACAGAGAGAGACAGAGCATGAACGGGGGAGGGGCAGAGAGAGAGGGAGACACAGAATCGGAAACAGGCTCCAGGCTCTGAGCCATCAGCCCAGAGCCCGACGCGGGGCTCGAACTCACAGACCGCGAGATCGTGACCTGGCTGAAGTCGGACGCTTAACCGACTGCGCCACCCAGGCGCCCCTATAGGATTCCATTTAATTGTCATCTAACAGTTACGGGTACATAAATGCCTAAATGTTATGTCAATTAACACATCTCAGCATGGTCTATTAAAAAAAAAAAATGTGTAACCAAATTTGCACTATTTCACAGCCTGACTGACAAAGATACGGCCACGACAATCAATTTCACTTAAGATTCAAAAACCAAAGCTGGTCGCTTTCTACTATGGTACTGGAGTTCTGGAGGGAAGGGAGGTCAAGATTCCAAAATTGTATCAGATCTTATGGACTCAAACTGAAACCTACACACATCTCCTATCTTTTCAAAAAGGCTGAAACCTACACACATCTCCTATCTTCTCAAAAAGGCTGTTTGCTCAATGCCGCACAGAAGGCTGTTTCCACCAGCTTCCCTCCAAAAAAAAAGAACATACATATACTTACAAATAACGCATAGAGACAAGGGTCTTGCTTTAGATCTATCTAGTCTCTAACTACAAGTACAACCTTCATTGAGTCACTTCAGTTCTGAGCACGAGCATCGTCACCTGCAAAGTGGGCTAATTTCCATTTACCAATATGAGATAGGAAAAGTACTCTGTAATTGAGATCTGCCATCGTAGATGTTAAGCACCGAACAAAGACTTCCAGAATCTTGGCTCTACTCGCCACTTCACCCAACATTTCCCGCCTAACAGTTTCAATTAAGCCCCAGGATCCCAGGCTCCGGAGTGACAAGACACCAGGGAGCCCCGGATGTAGTGCCCACACCCCCCTCCTTCCCCCAACCACG